ATTGATATAACACTATAACTCTTAGACATATTTTATAGTTTTGATATATCATATAATAAAAGTAATTGAAAATCAGAAATACCAATTACATATTAAAAATAATTATGTACACGGATAGGGCACAGATTTCATTGATGGCAATGATTGTAGAGTAACATAACATGAAGCATTGATTCTATTCAGTTATTATCATTCAGCAACTCAATGGGATGTAAGGCCAATATTTCGAAACAATTGTGTCTTTATAAATAATGTGTTTACCCTTTAAAATATCAAATCAAAAAAATTATTAGGCAAAAGTAAAATAATGTTTTACGACTAAGATAAATTTATTTTAGCAATAGGACAAAATTTTTCTGAACAAATAACATATCTGTGGGTATACATTTACAAAGATCTGTTTTTTGGACATTTAATTTAATTTAATCTTCACTCTGATTAGTTTTTTACATGTAATGGTTTATCATTAAATTCAAAAATAACACATAAATACACAGCTGAACGGTACCTACTTGTCCATCTTTTTTATAATTAAGATAAAATCAATAGTATTTAATTAATACATTCTGCCCAAAATCGCAAGCAGTGTTTAAAATCCAAAAACAAAATTGTGATATGATATTGATATATGCCTACGAGATAATTTATTAATTTCATCAGGTGGTAAATCATTTAGTTACAATTAGAAGTTAATTGCATCACATCGTATTTTTCATTTTACTTATATAATATATATATACGGGACTTTTTAACGAAAATTGTTTAGACCTTGGACTTTTTGGTAGTATACCACGTAGCAAATACTCAAAATAGTTGAGGGTTGAGCATTTGTGTTGCTTAAATTAATGAAATGTCAATAATTACTTTTTTTTGACATTTCTGTAGTTTGTAGTTGAATTATGCAAAAAGGCTACTTTTTCAGTTAAATAATAGTTTCAATAATATATGTTTAATTTTGTTACAAGCTAATAATCTTAGCAGTTGAAGCTGTACCATGGATAAAAATAAAAAAGGCAGGTAAGTGGATGTCGCTCTGCTGTACATTAGGTGGTGGGGTGGACCTCTGACTAGGGTAGATTAGATTTGAATGCAATGATAGGTATCATTGTATACGAAAAACGATTCTGAACGGAGATGATTTGTCA